CCCCCTCCTGGGGAGACCCTGCCCTCGCGGGTCCCGGGGGGGAACCACCCCCCTCTCCTCGGGAGACCCCCCCCATGGTCCCGAGGAGGGAACACCCCCCCCCATGGGGAAAACCCCCTCCTTCCCCTTCTCACCCCACCCTTGTGTGAGAGACTCCTCCATATCTTTCTTCCTAGGGGAAAGCTCCCCTCAAGGCCATGAGGAGATGCTTCCTTCATCCCTTTAACCTCCCCCGCCCCCCCCAACCCCAGCATTGGGCAGATGGCCCCACAGGTTCTCATTCATGGCCTAATGGAATGTGTTTTGTATTTTGGTGTCTGATCTGCATGATTATTGCTTGAAAACAGACTTTATCTCATTAATTAAGGGACACTAGGGACCAGATTACTGTGAGGTAGGTCAGCATCAGTATGCCCACCCTATTGATGGGGAAAACGATTGGACAGAGAGGTGAAGTGACTTGTCCCTGGTCACACCAGGTCTGTGGGTGAGCCTCAAAACCTTGTGTTCTGATGATTGACGCCAGTAGTGGGAGGATAGGCATCGGTTAACAATATGTGCTGGCTAGCCTAGTGTCCTTGTGTTTGACTCTGCTTGCACACCGCAGATGCTCTAAGTCGGGATCATCAAGCATAACAAGGGGCAGTGTGCTGTTGACCACACTGTACTTGTTCGGTGGATAAATACTGCATGAGATTTCAGTCTCCAGGACTGGACAGGTTCTTTCACCAATGTGAAACTAACTTAAAAGTAACAAAAAATACTCTGAAGAGCCAAATGGCTGAGACCAGCACAAGAAAGTTCATATATTCCATTAACATGTAATTTGCCAGGGGGATTTTTAATACTGCTCAACTGCTTTTGATGCCCAGAACTAGCTCATCTCTAGATGGAAGGAAACACTTTTAACATGGTTGCAGAGTTTCAGAAACCTTCACTGTGAATTTTTTTTCTCCACAGAATCGGGTGCTGCTGTCTGTGAATTTTTTTTAAGAGCTGCCTGTGGAAAAGGCAAGTGACATCCCTAATACTATATTCTAACAGAAACAAAAATAGGAGAAATAGGGGTGTTGGCAGTTCATTAATTATATTATCTTAATTTATAATACCCTAGTTATATTGCAGGGGTTGGGGAGAGAGACAGTGAGATGGAGATCAAGAGGGACTATGTTTCACGCACTAGAGCTCTCCAAAGCAAAGATGCATTGGTGGGATCCCTATAAGGTGGATGATGCGTGAACTAAGAAATTCAGGAGGGTGAGGCTTGAATTGATTACATACAAACCCTTTTGAGGGGTTTGGGCAATGGTAGTGGTAGGAACTGAGTACTAGGGTACGTCTTCACTACCCGCCGGATCGGTGGGTAGCAATCGATCTATCGGGGATCGATTTATCGTGTCTCATCTAGACGCGATAAATCGATCCCCAAACGTGCTCCCGGTCGACTCCGGAACTCCACCAGGGCGAGAGGCGGAAGCAGAGTCGACGGGGGAGCCACGGCCATCGATCCCACGCAGTGAGGATGGGAAGTAAGTCGATCTAAGATACGTCGACTTCAGCTACGCTATTCTCGTAGATAAAGTTGCGTATCTTAGATTGATTCTCTTCCCCCCCCCCCGTGTAGACCAGCCCATAGACTGCCATGCAGAGGATCTGTCTGTTGAACTCCTAACCATCTATGTGGATAAACAGAAGACCTCCCTTTTCTAGGGCTGTCAGTTCAGGACCTTTCACCAGCGCTAAATGGTAAATTCATATGCAAATGTAAAGACTTCTGAAACTCCTCTTCCAGGATTCAAACAAAGGACCACCATTGCCCTGTAGGCTTGCACAAAGCTTCTTGCACTAAAAGTTCCAAATGTTCATTCTTACTTCTCCCCTCTCCACCCATAGGAGGCATGTGTCCTTTCCGACACATCAGTGGAGAAAAGACAGTTGTGTGCAAACACTGGCTCCGAGGGCTGTGCAAGAAGGGAGACCAGTGTGAGTTCCTTCATGAGTATGACATGACCAAGATGCCTGAGTGTTATTTCTACTCCAAATTTGGTAAGGGGTGTTGTAGTTTCTCATTGACTTCACTTGCTAGTGTGGGAATATGACTGGCAAAGAGGACCCTGGTATATACCTGTCATCTCTGCTTCATCTGCTCTCTCTACCCTTCTATGTCTGCTACTGATGCTTGTTAGATTGTAATTTATGAGCTCTGATCAGATCTGTTTAGTTCCACATTGTATTTTACCCCCTTAACTCTTCGCACATTTAAAGTTTTGTCTTTCATAGCTTGTCCCTAACTTGAACTCTTTGACCCATGACTTTAATGGGTTTTGTACCTGTTATGCTGATTTGGATCAGAGTTGATTTGGATGAATAGGTGGTCTCTACATGAATTAATTTTTCAGCAGATGATGGGTGACAGGAGGCTCAAGGATCCAAAAATTGAATGCCTCAGTCTTTCAGCTCTGGAGACCTGGGCTAAATTAAATTAACATATTGAGGTAACTTGTTAGAAAATTATAGTCCTGTAGGTTTCCTTGGATCAAGGTTAGCATGTAATTTATAGTTTCGCCACAATTTTGCTGCATTAAATGTTTAGTTTTGCTGTAATTGCTTCCCTTTCCAGTATACTTTATTTTTAAATGCGCATCTAAATAACCCAATCTAGCAAAATCTTACTCACCTGCAGTGAGTATTTGTTGATGTTGGTAAAGGGCAGGCAAATATATTTTGTGCCTGGATTTAGAAATATTCATGACAGTTTTGCTGGGACTAGATGACCTAGGTATTGTTTTGGGAGGGGATTTTACCTCACGCATGCTCTGTTTCCTAAAGTGTGTGTTTGGCTTTGGTACAGGAGAGTGCAGTAACAAAGAATGTCCGTTCTTGCACATTGACCCGGAGTCTAAGATCAAAGATTGCCCCTGGTATGACAGAGGCTTCTGTAAACACGGTATGTATGGTGCATAGGTGCTGCTTTTGTGACTATAAAAATGAGGCTAATGTAATCCACCTCCCATATGTGCCACTGGTAGGTGCTGGGGTATGTGTGTAATATATGTGATCTATGAAGTTTTATGTTGTAGGTCCCCTCTGCAGACACAGACACACTCGAAGAGTCATTTGTGTGAATTACCTGGTGGGATTCTGTCCGGAGGGGCCCGCTTGTAAATTCATGCAGTGAGTATGTTCTAGGGTCTTTTCTGTCATCTGTAGTTTCCTCTCTGATCAGTTACCCATCAGGTCTATCTTACCTATATTGCACCCATCAGTGTAGAACATTTGCAGCACTGATGCAATAACTGTACTGTACCACACATCTGAAGTTTTGTTCATATTTGAGTTTACCTCTTAAAAGTGAAAAGAATTTGTAGTCAGGATGATCAAAAGAGATTGGGCAAATCACACCAATGTTCCCCAAGAAGACATTGAAAATGTCAGTCAGTGCTTACATGGTCAATACAACTTGTACAAAGCAATTTAATTAATTACAGTTGATCTGATCCTCTTAACTCTAGACACATTATTCCAACAGTTACGCTTTCAGCTACGCAACTGTTTTATTTCATAGTATATATTTTTTTAATCCTTGCATATGAGTAGTTCATTCAGTGGCCAAAATTGGTATGGACATTTCCTATATTGCATTGCATTTTCCAAATATCAGATTAAAGTGGCTGTTTCGATATTTACACACACAACTCTGGGACATCAAACAAAGGTTGTGAGGACAACTGCAGATTCGATGAGTATATATCCCAGAATACAGAAATACTCTTTACTGTCTCAGTACCTCCCCAACCACTTTAGTTTATAAAGGCTAAGCAGCAGAACACAGGAGAGAAGGTCCACTTGTTGTGAAGCACAGTTTAAATAACTAAAGGTTTGCTTTGCTCTCTGGACCGTTATTTGTCTCTTAAGGAATTAGTTCAGTGCTGTGCTGATAGTATATGCCAGTTTCTGGTTTGAGTTTCAATTCTCTATATGTGTCTTTTCTCTTTGTGTGTTTATAAACCAGTCCTCGATTTGAACTGCCTATGGGAACCACAGAGCAACCACCACTGCCTCAGCCGACACAACCACAGCAAAAGGTACACGACTTCCCTGCCTCTCCCAGAGACAACACATTCGAAGCACAGCTCATTTAGATAAACCAAGTTGACTCTCTTTTTAAAGAGGGCATGTGGTTAGAACAGGAACGAGCCATCAGGACTCTTATCCTACTCATCGTGTCTTGGGAAAACATCTGTAAAATGGGGATAATCCTTTCCTAGTTCAGAGCCCTATTGAAACTTGACCAAAAGTTTTTAAAGAACTTTGAGATCATTGGAGGAAATCCACCATAAAAATGCAAAGTATTATCCTTTTCCTCTCCTCTCTTACTCCTGGCATTGATCACAGTTGCTGCCTCCTTCATTCTGGGGTTGTTTTTTTTTTCTTCTAACTGAACCCCTGATTTCCCTCTTCCACAGTCACCATTCTGCTGCTGCCACCTTCCTTCAGCTGAGAGGGCAAATGCATGGCCAGTAGTGACAGTTCTGTTCCGTGGACTGTCTGGAAGGTGGGCACTGTGTAAGCATTAAGCAGTGCACCTGAGCTCTGCTACACTGACAAGCACAAGTCCTAAGATCACTCGTATATTGCAGTGTAAGCCCTTGGTCACAGAGCACTACCATGTTACATAGTATATCATATACATCTGTGTTTTCTTTATTCCAAGCAACCATCTGTCAGATTTAAAAAAATAAATCTGCTTGACACCTGTCATGGAGCTCTAATGGACATATCTGGCAAGCTAGCCCAGCTCTGTAGATCTGTTTTGTGAGGGAAGTCTTGGTTGCTAGGTCAAGCCCTGTATGCCCTATTGTTTCTGAACTTTCATCTCTGGTGCTTGGGCTGGCAGATAAATTTTCCTATGAATTTATTTAGAAGGTTATCATTCAATGTGTGGGATGTTCTCTTCCCTCCCAGCAAAATAACAATCCGCCATTACAAAGGTCATCATCCTTGATCCAGTTAACGAGTCAGAACTCTTCTCCCAACCAGCAGAGGACCCCACAAGTCATCGGAGTTATGCAGTCTCAAAGCAACAATGTGGGGAACAGAGGTCCCCGGCCGCTGGAGCAGGTCACCTGTTACAAGGTAACTCTCAGAGGGTGTTGGCATTTGAAAAATGCAAGGTAAAAGTCACCTAAACTGACTAATGCATCCTTTGTGCTGCTAGTCACCTGTCACATTGCTTTTCAACTTGGTGCAGATTGCAGTAAAGGGAACAGGTGGCTGAGTTGCTGGGGCAGCAGGGCCTGTGAAGAAGCATTGACATTGTAAAGAAAAGTATTGAAATGTATGCACTGGTTATTAGACATGTATTTTGGATAGTGGGTGCAGCTTGGGATCAGGAAGTTAGTATTGCGCTATGGAGCCTGTGGGTTACCAGTTACCTAGTCTGTGGGTTGGCAATGACTGTCAGATGGCTCCTCAGTGGCCTGTATGAAATGGTTCAATGCACTTGATCCACTTGCTAATCACAGAAAACCCCACTAGTGGCAGTTAAAAGGACATTGTCAACCCGAAATTGAGCCAATTTCAAAAACCGTCTTAGAAGTAGTTTCAGCTGCTACCCCTGCCCCTGAATGTTCCTCCTTGCATTTTCCTATTTTTAAAAAGGCTTCTCCCCTGTTACTGTGTGAAAAACTCACCCAAACAGGGGAAAGTGACTATACACAGTCAAATCCAGAAAGGCTGAAGATGGTTCTGCCACAGCACGCGTAGTTCCTGCCAAACCGAGGAACAAGACATCATACCCAAATTTCTCAGTTTGTGGTGCAGGCAGCTCCTCAATTAAACTGAAACCTCAATTTCCATTAACATTTTGCAGAAACATCCCCACATGCTACTGTAGATAGCAAAGGATCTTCTTAGCCACTCTCTTCAGTAAGTCGGACCAAGATGAGCACTAGCATTAATAATGAACCTAAACGTTTCTTTATTCAAAACTAAGTCTCTTAATAATCTAAACATACAACTAAGACTGTTTTTTGGACTCATTCCACCATTATCTTCTATAACTAGACATTTATTCTGGCTACATGATTATAAACATCCAAATCCGTTTAACTGAGAACCTCTAAGGCTCCAATTTAATGCAAGATTTGGGTTTCAGTGAAGGCAAAGGGCCTAAACCTACCCACTAAAGTTATCCTTGTGAGTCTTGCCCTTAACTTCCTTTGTAGCAGAAACTCTAATTGGGGCTAGTTGTATGTCATGGGGGGGCGGGGGGGAGAAATGGGCAGGGGAGAAGTCATATGCTTCCAATGCTCTTCTATGACTAATCTATGCAACGCTGTTGCCTTTGTCAAAGGTAAAGCAGGAAAGCAGCACAAAAGAGGATATAGGGGCAGCAGCAGTTCTCTTCCCCCTCCCTTCCTCCCCGTTCTCTCTCTCACCACAGAGCTTCCCCACCAGGCACTGAGATCGTATGTTTAACGGGTTCTAACATTTTAGTCAGTTTTTTATTGGAAAATAAAAGATATTTTGATTTCAATTAGTTACCCCATGACTCTTGTCATGCATTTGTTTGGTTTTATTATCAATGCGTTACTTTCCATTTTTCTGCAGCTGAAGCTTTGAAAAGTCACTACCCTACCCAAGGCTAAGCAGTTTCTCTGCATAGTCATCAATAAAAGAGTGCTATCAGGCTGGGATTTAAGGAAGTAATTCAAATAAATTGCACATCTGGAGAAAGTAGGAGGGTCAGACTACGATATGTCATGGCTTCACAGCTTAGAAGGCTGTTTCAGAGCATAGGAAGCATCTTTTGTTCAGATTGAGTTTTACCCTTTTAGTCCAGGGTGGCTGACAAGGAGACTCTCATCTGAACGTTTATGTTCATCATACACATTGGTCAGAGCAGAGTCCTTGAGACTTCAGGTGCTGAAATATAGCAGGTAAAAAGCCCCTTTCTCTACAGCGGAGTAATGCAGTTAAATCTCCTCAGGGCTTTGAGTATCTCTATTGCAGCCCTTTCCCATTGGTAGTGCCAAGAACCCCAGTGTTCAGATGGAACCTGGGTCTTCAGGTTATAGTGGCAGGCAAGTTCTGGTCCTAACAGTCAAGTGGCCCCAAAAGGGTCTGTGGCAAGGATCTCATTTATGGTATAGCACAGAATGCATTAACTTGCTGAATATTGTCTCTCGTGTACAAATGGCATTGCTTCCAAACTAGAACTACTTGCCAGTTGGTTTGTTAAAGGCAGTGTTGGGAAAAGCCACAATAACTCCTCCCTTTTTTCCTTCCTAGTGTGGTGAAAAAGGACATTACGCCAACAGATGCACCAAAGGACATCTGGCCTTTCTAAGCGGACAGTGAGACAGCATAGAGGGAGGAGAGTGCAAGGAGGTTCTTTACACTGGGGAAAAGTTTCCGCCTAGCACTATTTCTTGAACTATTGATCAGGTGTTTTGGTTTTTTTTTAAACGCCATTAGTGAAAGAACTGTGGCCAGAGGCTGGCTGCTGATAAACATTTTTGTAACTGTCCAATTTTTTATGTTTTAACCTTTTAAAATAGATCTTGGCCTCTGCCTTCTTTCACTGAGCCTAGCTGGGAGGTAGATCTAAAGGCAAATAGATGTGCAAATCCCCACCAACGCAACATTCAGCGTAATACACATCTTGCTCCAGTGTGTTTCTGTAAAGGATAGCCTTTGGGAACCTCCAACCTTTCAGCAATCCTTGTTCAAGGAGGAAGACAGACTGGAAGAACTAGTACTTGAAATGCCTCCCACTTCAGTGAGGGAGCTTGTCATGCAGCTCTTGAAAGGAGGCCCCATGTTCCCTTATTCAATCGGAGGTTTCTTAACCTGATGGCTCACATAACATGTGGTGTACCAAGATGTAAAGTATTTGTCCAACTGCAATAAAAGTTTGTATGCTTTGGCCGGAAGCATTTTCCCCTTTGCTGTTCTGCGGGGTGAGAAGTTGGTCCTTGTATGTGAAAACCACTTGTAGGGGAATGAACGTACATTTATGGTTTTAGCTGAAATCACAAAAGCATTGGCTGTAGAAGAGGCGCAGGTCTGTTCTCACCATGGCAACCCTGAACTCAGACCTGAAGTAGCTTTGAAGGTGTAACACTATATGGATACCAACAGATGAAGTTAGTTGGCATTCCCACAAGCAGTCAATTGCACAAGTATCTTCACAGGCTCTCGAAACAAATAAATGGAACTATATATTCTTGAGATTGCTTTTAAATTGGACTCTGAGTGTTAGAGTATCCTCATAGGAGCATGTTTTTCCAAGCCAAAACACCTTAATTTTGTAAGACTTTGGTCCTTTGAAATAATGACAAAGAGAATTTAAAAAAAAAAACCCATCTGTTGCATCTGGAATATGTGAGCCTTTTCTAGTCTCGAGCATCTATCTACATTTGCTTATCTGCCGTTGTTTTTTCCTTCCTATTTTAAAGTTTTCTGTGAAACTTAGGTTGTGATTTTTCAGGAAAAGGGTAATGTATGCCTAGGAAGCGATAGGACCCTGGGTTGGTTTAAATGATTACACAGGACTGTTGATTTTAAAAAAATTGTAGAAGAAGCTGTACTTACTGATACTCCTTTTAGTAAGTACACAGTGGGATATTTAGGCTTAAAAGTTAAAATTAAATCCACAGGTGTAAGTTGGCTGACTAGCATTGCTCATTCTGCATTTTTCAGAACACGCATCAAGACTTCTGTCCCTGAAGTCTATAAACAAGTGCCAAACCTGTGTTTGTGCTTCCAGCACAGGGCTGTTAAAGACTGTGCATCTCTAAGCAACTACCCCCATCTACACTTAGTGAACTAAAGCTTATCTGCTTGAGAGTATGGTCAGCTGGTGGAAGTTTTTTCAAGCCAGACAGTAATTTCATCTTTATAATACTGCTGAACACAGAAGTGCTCCCTGCCATCCTCCAGCAAGACCTTTATTCTAACCAGGTTCTTAATAGGCAGGGGCCTCTGTACCCCATTAACAGCTGTTATCAAACACTCTTATCACTGTTAGCTTTAGACAAACAGCCTCTTGTAATTCATCCATAAAGAACTGGCCCCTGCATCCTTCTGAACAGTAGCATCATTACTTACTGATGTGTTTTGTTAATGTAGGTGGTCCCGAGTATATCGAAGCTGTGCTTCTTTAAGTGACAACCATGTACTCTCCCCCTTGCTTATTTAGACTTTCACCATCATGGTTGGAAGTGTCAGCTGACAAACATGGCTTTGCTGCTGTAGAAGTTTCATTTCATCCCTCTCCACTTTATTTAAAAAAATAAAACCCAATAGCTTTAGCATAGTTGCTTGTCCCTGGCATTTAGAATAATCTGTCACATTCCATTTTAAATATAGGCTACTCATTTGCTTTCATTCTGCCTTTACCATCACTTGGGCAAGGGTTGTTCTACACACAAATCTATGGACACCTTTTAGGACCAGTGGCAGGAGCTGCTTGGCAACATACTATTGAAGACAACCACTATCCGAGATCTTACTTAGTAAAACAGTACAGATTAAAAGTGGTGGAAGTGGCCGCTAGCAGAGAAATTTTGTTTTGTATGAGGCAACTATTATTATAGATTCATAGATTCTAGGACTAGAAGGGACCTCAAGAGGTCAGCGAGTCCAATCCCCTGCCCGCATGGCAGGACCAAATACGGTCTAGACCATCCCTGATAGACATTTATCTAACCTACTCTTAAATATCTCCAGAGATGGAGATTCCACAACCTCCCTAGGCAATTTATTCCAGTGTTTAACCACCCTGACAGTTAGGAACTTTTTCCTAAATGTCCAACCTAAAATATACAACTTGGAATGGATTTGAGGCACATTGTGCCATAAGCAGATTCTTTTGAAAATAAGTGGCTAAACAAAGTTTAAAAAGCACAGTAATAGGAGAAAATGTTTTTCTGGTACAGGACTAGTAGTACAAAAAAAATAGTGTACAAGTACCTCGATAACACACCCGTTTTGCAATAATGCAACTTTTAAGTTTCATATTCTTAACTATCAATAGTCCACGCAGAGTTAAGGCTCCACATTTCAACAACATGCTAAGTTTCCTAAAGAAAGCTACTTTAACAGGCA